GTGAACAAATGATGGCAATGTTAGACAGCAATGTGATCCAATCAGAACATGTTTTGTTTTATGATGAGTGCATCTTTACTCTTTACGGTCATGCTAATCGGCAAAATTGCCATTGGTCCAGGGAAAATATTCACTAAATGAGAACAGGCAATACTCAATACCCTGAGGTTAATGTGTGGGCAGGAATTATTGAAAATCAGATCATAGGTTCCATTTTCATAGATGGAAATTTGAATGGAAACAATTATTTACCGTAGCTCCAAAATCGCTAACTTGTATGCTGATCCAGGAAAGTCACAAGTTCCAGCGAATATAATATGGTTTCAACAAGATGGAGCACCACCCCACTACCAAATCCATGTCCGGCCGTACCTTAAATCAAATATTTAAAAATCAGTGGATAGGCAGGCGAGGATCGATGGAATGACCACCACGATCTCCCTATTTGACGTCATTAGACTTTCTCTTACGGGGATATGTGAAAAGTATTGTATACAAAACTAAACCCACTAATTTAGCTGACTTACGAAGACGTATGAGGATTGCGATTAGATCGCTCACATTTGAGATGTTGAGTAACGTTAGAAGAAATTTCTATTCACGGTTAGGGTGTCCAAGACGTTCATGGGGAGCATTTTGAACATTATTGTTCTAAACATTATTGTTTAGATTTGTATTAGTTAGAAGTTTTTAAATATGTTGTAGCGACTTTCGACAAATAGATAATTTTCTTTTCTAAATGTGAATTTTTGCATTTTACTTAATATTTCCCAACAAGTCAAAGATAGATATAGGACATTGTATTTAAAAAATGTCTAAAATGATCTAAGGAATCTAAAAATTAATTGATAAACAGAGTGTTCTATTCAAAATAAGCAAGTTGGTATTGGCCAACCGTTATCTGATATACCCCGTATAAAAAGTTTTCGTCGAGAAAAATCCCCAACTATAAATACTATTTGACGTGTTCGACAGTTTGGCTGACACACAGTGTATATATATATATATATATATATATATATATATATATATATATACATATATATATATATATATATATATATATATATATATATATATATAATACAGTGTGTCCACTTAAGTTCGCACCATATCGGAAACTTTCTTAATATTAGTTTTACGAAAAAAAGTTATTCTTCATAAAAAGTTCTGCATGGTGTAAAAACTAAAATACAACCATCAGATATTAAAATTTTTCAGTCGTATACGAGGTATGTTCAAAAATATGAATTTTACCAAGAGCAAAGTACCTCAATTTTTTATAATTTCGAAAATTGTTATCAAGAAAATTTATTTAGAAGTCTACAACATGTTCAAATATATAGCCATGTATACAAAATGTTTAAAATGGAGATTTTCTACATTTTGCTATTGCATGTCTACCCTACAACAGTAATAAATGCATAAGTACATTTTTAATCAAGTTGCCATGATATTTACATATCTGACATTAAACGTAAAATACATATTTGACAGTTACAATAAATTCTAATTAAAGATGCCGGTGGTATTGAATTTAGAAGAAAAAATAGAAATTGTGCTAATTGTGGGTGATAATTATAAAACGTATCGGGAAGCAGCTGAAATATTTAATAACAGACATCCAGGAAGAAATATACAACATACAACAGTTATGAGACTTATGGTAAAATTCAAAGTATACGGAGATGTTAAAAATAAATTCAGCAACAAACGTGAAAAACGCGTTGCAAATGAGGCGACGAAATTAGATGTAATGTTATCTACAGTGCAAGATCCTAAATATTCTCTACCAAAGAGGGCATTGTTGTTGCAAAATGCAGGTAAAAGTACAATTGCAAAAATTTTGAAGGAAAATCAGTTTAAACCATATAAGCCTAAATTTATTCATACATTGAAACCTAGAGACTACGATAAGAGAATAGAATTTTGTTTTCTTATTCAAGAAAAAATTGAAGACGATCCTTTTTTTGTTAGAAAAATAATGTTTTCAGACGAAGCTACATTTAATTCAAATGGAACGGTGAGTTCTCAAAATTGTCGATGGTGGAGTGACAACAATCCTAACTTCACAATTAGGACTCGTGATCAATATTCATTTAAAACAAATGTTTGGTGTGGCATTTACAAAGATAAAATAATTGGGCCATTTTTTTTTTCGACAATCCATGACCTCTCAGAATTATCTAAATTTCTTATAAACTCACGTGTGTGATTTTATTGATGACCTATCACTACATGAACGGCAACAAATATGGTACCAGCAGGACGGCGCTACATGTCATGGTACATTGGAAGTAAGGCAGTATCTGGATCATTTGTTTAACGGAAGAGTAATCCACAGATATTCAGAGACCTTTTGGCCAGCTAGGTCGCCAGATTTAACCCCGTTAGATTATTTCTTTTGGGGTTACTTGAAAGATAATGTATACAAACAAGGGCCGTTTACAAACGTCCAACATTTGGAAAGGGTTATTACGGAAACCATTCAGACTATAACTCCCAACATGATTCGAAATGTGTTAAGAGAATTTTGTCGTAGAACGGAAACTTGTATTGAAAGAGAAGGTGGGTACGTTGAGGCAATGGCGGTTTGATCTAAGAAAATCTATTACTTAATATTTTTTGCAAATATTTTTAACAACTTATTGTTATAATTGCTATTCATGTTAGATTGTAAAATAAATAACGTTGTTATGTGTACGAATTATTTTAAAACATCAACAAATTGCTGCAACAGTCAAGTTGGGAAACTAAAAGGTTATCAAATTTTTTATAACAAATGAGTTAAATGTTTGTTAGATATGTTTACAATTTTAAATAAATAATAATAATAATAAGAAAGTTTCCCATATGGTGCGAACTTAAGTGGACACACTGTATATATATATATATATATATATATATATATATATATACATATATTTATATATGTATAGATATATATATATATATATATATATATATATATATATATATATATATATATATAATTTCAGTTGTTTTCCGGGTTTGACTCCGCGTTAAGTAATTTTGGAGAACTGATAAGTTCTCCTGAAACATCAAGACGAAGCAGAATTAATCTGACAATGGCAAGTGTGACCTTGCCGAAACGTCGTCAAAACAATGGTCTTTCTAAAAACCAAAATTACTTAACGCGGAGTCAAACCCGGAAAACAACTGAAATCACATATAGCTTCCGCGGAAATTTCAAATCCAATATATATATATATATATATATATATATATATATATATATATATATATATATATATATATATATATAAATATATATATATATATATATAAATATATATATATATATATATATATATATATATAAACATTTGTGTCTGGGTATATGTAAATGTGAACAATAAAAAAATATATCCTTCATTGTATATTTCTATCTTAACAAAAATTAACATAAAATTGAAAAATACTCAAATTTTCAAAGTTTAAATTAAGAGTTACTGACCGTGTAAATACATCAACACAATTAACAGCACCAGTCTTTTAAAGCCACCAACAAAAAGTGTATCCATACTGCTCATGTTTATCCACAACAAAATCCCAATCAACCAAAATCAACAAACTCACTTGAAAAACACAATTTCCCACGTCAAACAAATCCTTTTTTATCGTATGTCTAAATTAGCCAACAAACATTTTCCTGGCGTCAAATCGTTTACAGTCACCCCAGCACATTTCTTCGTGTGTCGTATAATCAACAATTTAAACAAATTATAACCGGTCGTTAATTGATTTAATTAGCGGCAAACGGCGGGAGCGCCGGGCGGCGAAAAGTGTCGAAAGAGACGAAACGCGTGGTGATCCCGAAGAGAAGCGCAGATTCTTCCTGCGGGACGAACGCGTGAAAACTGCGTTTGGTACACGGGCGATACAGAGCTGCTGATGCTTCTTCGGATGGTGCGCCGCCGCCCGATTTTCTACGTCCGAAATAGCCGTCTCCAATTTAGATGGTAACGGAGTCTGTGGAGGCGAGCCCGTGCCACTCCCACCGCAGAGTACAAGACAACACTGATTTTCCTTGGAAAATACCCACCTGATGACCATTATTTCGAGGATTTTTCCATTAAGTTTACATTACATCTATAAATAATTTATTTAACAAGTGCTTTTTTGAAAGTAAAATTTCGTGGCATTGGTTAGATGCTATTATTGTTAGAATTCACAAAAAATATTACCGATTTCTCAAATTTTAAACCTAACCTTGCTTAGTTATATACAGTGCTAGTCAAAAGTCCGTCCCTCCCCCGTCATATCTTTTAAACGGTTATACTTATACTAGTGAAATTTGTAATTTGTAAAATTATACCATTCCACTTTCCATTCTCCTTCAACAGAGACACCCCACACTAGTTTTGAGTCTGAACCTGACATACTTTTTTCCGAGGTGGAATTCGCTTTAAAAAGACTTAAGTTAAACAAAGCAGCAGGATATGATCTCATTACTGCAGACGTCTTGAAGCATCTTCCGGAATGTGGAGTGAAAATATTACATCGATTGTGCAATGAAATATAGCACACAGGCGTCTGGCCTGAGGATTGGAGAAAGACCATAATCATACCTCTTCATAAGAAAGGTTCAACAAATAATTGTAACAACTACAGGCTATTAGCTCTAATATCACACGCCAGTAAGGTGATCCTCTACATACTGCAACGGCGTCTAGAAAACTTCATAAGTTGGCAGGCTGGATTTTTAAAGGGCAGAGGTACTAGAGAACAAATCCTTAATGTACGAAACATCATAGAAAAAGCCAGAGAATACCAGATCCCGAAATTTATATGTTTCGTCGATTATACAAAGGCCTTTGATAATGTTAGATGGGACAAACTATGGAACATATTGACGACAATGGGTGTACCTAAACACTTGGCTCACCTTATTAGCAAACTGTATCAAGATAACCTGGCATATATTCGAATGGACGGATATCTGTCTGACAAATGCACTTTGGAGAAGGGAGTACGCCAAGGATGCGTTTTATCTCCCTTATTATTTAACATCTATTCGGAGTTCATAATGCGCAGAGTTTTGGATGGTTGGGAGGGATGAGTAAACCTAGGTGGTGTTAAGATATCTAACTTGCGTTTCGCAGACGACACTACACTTCTAGCCTCTACTCCAGAAGAAATTACTAAATTATTAAAAAAACTCGAGGTAGAAAGTGCTAAATTTGGACTCATGGTTAACTAGAACAAAACCAAAATCATGGTTATTGATCGCCAACAACAGTTTCCTGAAACCCAAACTATTGCGGGATGCGAGGTAGTCTCATCTATGATATATCTTGGAGCTCTAGTTAACAACACAGGCAGTTGTGAATCTGAAATTAGAAGACGCATTCAACTAGCAAGAGCAGCAATGAGTCAACTAAACGGGGTCTAGCGTGATCGTCACATTACTATGACAAACAAAAAGAGACTCGTTTCAACTCTGGTCTTTTCCATATTTCACTATGCATGCGAGACATGGACAGTCAAAGAATCAGATCGACGACGTATAGACGCCTTTGAAATGTGGACATGGAGACGCCTGCTTCGAATTCCATGGACGGCTCGCCGTACAAATATCTCGGTTCTGGATGAAATTAAACCGGATCAGCGTCTCTCCAGTACCTTTTACTCTAGAATTTTATAGTTCTTTGGCCATATCCATCGAAGTGATCACAAAATGGAGCGGTTGGTGATTCAAGGAAGGCCTCAGACAACGCCAACGCGGAAGATCTCCACAGCGATGGGCGGACATTACTAAAAAGCTTCTTAATAAACAGTATACTGAGGCAATACATATAACTGATGACCGCGACCAGTGGAGAAATATTATCAATCAAACTGTCCGAGCTGCTGAAGCCCAATTATGAACCACAACACATCTACTAAGATGTTAATGACTGTGATGATGGGTGAAATTTGGTGGGAGGTAATAAACAGACATAGGCTGATGGTTGCACTGATTTGAAAGTACACTGCAGCACGTTTCTTGCCTTTTATATACGAATGAACGATGTTATCGAGTGGTTACATTGAAGCACAGAGTTGAAAACTTAAACTGCTCGTCTCATCAATTTGTTTTGGCGGTGACAGGTGACGTTTGAGGTTATGGTAAACACAGATTGCAGAAAGTGTTGTTTTAGGTTTATTTACGATTTGATAGATTTTATTATTCAAACTTATTCCAGACCTACTATTTAATGTTTCTACCATTATCTACATACATTATTTGTAGTATTTGATATTGAATTGCATCTGAACATCAAATGTATCCATCTAGTTACTTTGCCCCATAAGGATTTTTTAATATTCAGTAAATATGGATATGGAAAATTTGTTGACAGAAATACCAACTTATTCTTTATACGGAAAAAATAAGTATAGATTGCCGCCAGTAGATCCTACCATATCTGATGGGTCTGATATTTCTGATGACGAAGAGCCGGTTTTGAAATCTATACAGAAACCGGTATCACTTCAGTTGTCAGGTAAAATATGGTTTTATATCGTTGTCCAATACAATCTGATAAAATATCTTTTACAGATGAGAGTGATTCTGATCGTAGCATATTAGAATACGAAAAACACATTCAATAATATAACATTGCTGATGTGGAACCTACCCCAGGCAGCTCGAGCGAACTGCCATGCCAAAAAGGAAAACGTCCAAACCTACATATAATTGGTTGAAAGAATATATAAAAAAAGAATATATAAAAGCTGAAGAAAATAGAGAAAGTTTTATTGCAAATGCTAATGAAGAAATATTATCCCCATTCGAATATTTCACAATTTTTTTTTTATTTGATCTTTTTCATAATTTCAAATTTAAGCTCATACTTAAGAAGGTATTCGAGCTTAAGAGACATTGTCATCGACCTAGACTCTCAACATTATTAAATGTAAAATGTGATATATTTTTTAAATCGACACATGGAAGTCTTATAGACACCTTATTGTTAGCACCAAATACCAAAGGCACTGAAGATGATCTGTATAGATTGAAAACGTTCTGCCATAATTTTAAATGTTGACGATACTTTTAAAAAGTTTTTAAGTACTTGTATGTTTTTATACCAAAATACACAATTGTGAAGTGTTTTAACTTCTGTTTTTTTTTAATATCAATCTATTCTCGTATACGGTTGAACTGGTATTAAAGAGGAGATATCAGAAAAATGATTTTTTTTATTTACAAAATTACTTCAACCACTAGAGGTTATTAGCATGGTACAATAAATTACTTAAATGTTAATATATTACACTATATTTTGTGAAGAAGTCCTGCATTTTGTAAAAAGTTTATAGTTTTGTCATTATTGAAGCCGTTTAAGCACTCCTTGGATGAAGTGGGTAATCCAGCTTGAAGTCGTTCTAAGGTGTACTTTGTATACCCTAGAACAAAGGGTGTACAAAGAGCTGTACACATGGTCCACTGAAGTTAGACAATCACAACTGTAGCACATGGAAATTTGTTCTTTACTTAGAAGGTAATCGTGTGTTAACTTCGTATGGCCTATACGTAATCTAGAGATGCATACTTGGCCTCGTCGTTTGAATGGAAGTTTGTATACAGCTACCTCTTGCTTAATGTTTTTCATGGAGCTCTGAATTGTTTCAGTGTAGTTGCGATTCTTCGTTTATTTTGTTTCTAAGATATTGCTTCAGATCGCTATGAACGCATTTAGTGAATAATGTTGATTGTGGATTTTCCGCTGCTTCCCTGAGATATGGTTAATTTGGCAACTTTACAAACATATATATATATATATATAATATATATATATATATATATATATATATATATATATATATATATTGTCATACTTTTTCTTTTCCAACCAAAGAAAAATAAATAAAAAAATCCATCGAAATAAAATTTCAAGATATCAATATAAACAAATTGTATATAGTAATTTAAGATAAGATTTAGTGTAGATAAGAATAGAAATTTGTTTGGCTTCCGTTTCAAACAAAATTATCAAAAAACCTTTGTTTAGAATTAGAAGACATTTTACCTGTAAGTTAATCTTTTCTTTGTTTGTATAGTCGAGTATTAAATGACCATATTTTAATCTTTTGAAATATGTATAAATGATGTATTAAAAAAAAAACCAATTTTAAAGTAAGCTATTTAGTTTTCTCTGAAACCGAAATTAGGCTTTTCCAAAATCATGGTAAACACAATTTAAGTTTTTTGATTGGACGGTCGTTTTTAAATGGGAATTTGGTGAGTCGATCATGAAAGAGGAGAAGTTAGTCATATTTTGGTCATCGAAAGGAAACAGTCGTTTTGTCTTAAGATAGGGTGTGGTTCGTGAGTTTTGATACCGGCGTAACGAAAAGAAGTGAATAGTTTGAAGAAGGAGATAACAAGTGGATTAAAAGAGGTCCTTGTATCTACCGTGGGCATTTTATAAAGTATATGTGAAAGTATTCTTACGGCAGCAGGTTGACAAAAGGAGGTCCTGGTGTCATAAATAAGTAGCGGAGTTTGGAGAAGTGAATCAGGTGTTTTTTGTGTAGTCTGAAGGAGGTTTGCAGAGACGTAAAGAAGGAGCCGAGGTGCCAAAGAGGGTAGATCACATATTTGAGGAGACTGGACTTTTCTGGGTATGTTCCAACATACAACTCAAGAAGAAAATAAGCTGTAAGTGTTTGTACAATTGAATTTTATATCTGTGAAGGATCGTTTCGACATCATGGTCATTATCATTAAAATTTAAGAACTGAGGTTTTGTTAGGCTAATCAAAAGTTTAAAGTTTTGTGGTTTCTTTTTTTCAAGTAAAGAAAATTTTAAGTAAAATTGGTTTTTTACGTAATATAAATGTATGTAGCTTTATTATCTTATTATCATAATAATTTGATTTATTTTCTTGTATGCTGATTGATAAGATAACGACAGAATTTAATAATTGTTTTATTCGTTCATATAAAATAAAGAAACGTAAATCTTTGTAATATAATATATTTGTATTCTTATCCTTTTCTTCTCTATCCCGATAAAAGACAACTAGAAAATCTTTTGAATCCATCGAACACAGGTAATATAAGGATTATTTTACTTTTGATAACAAATAAGTTATAATTTTTTTTATTGGCTCAATAAACTAAGTTTGAACTCAAAATAAACAATCATAACAATATATATATATATATATATATATATATATATATAATATATATATATATAAGCGAGGTTCCTACAGCCTCTGCCGCTTCTCGCATTTCGACCGCCATCGTTTTCTGTCCATCCATTCGTCTTCTTTGATGGCTCTATCTCTCATTAGGTGTCGTACATTTTCTTCCCAGGCAACTGATGGTCTTCCCCTTCTTCTTCTTTGTTGTGGTATGTAATTTAATGTTTTCTTTGGCCATCTATCTTTATTCATTCGCTTCACATGACCATACCACACTAGTTGTCTCGTTTCAGTTCTGTCTACACTGGAATATACAGTATTTGTCCTCCTTCTAATATCCGCATTCCTCCTTTTTTGATACACCACACGCTCTCCTTAGAAAATCCATTTCTATTACTTCTATTCTTTTTCCATCTTTTTTCGTGATCTGCCAAACTTCTGCCCCATAAGTCATAATAGGCTCTACCAAGGTTCGATAGATTGTCAATTTTGTTTCATGTCTAATATCTTTAGACCATAGTAGAGTTCAGAATGTTAACCGCTTTTTTTTCCTGCTGCGTCCTGTTTTCGATGTCTCTTTTGGTAGTGCCTTCCTTAGATATTATAGATCCGAGATATTTATATTCATTGCATGTTTTTGTGTTTCTAATTTCTAACTCTAATTCTTTATTTAGTTTTCTAAACATGTAGTCCATGTCTTCCTCATCATTCGCTATGACTACCTGATCATCTGCGAAAAATAAAGTTGTTAGACACTTACGATCACCTATGTCTATTCCCATTCCGGATACTTGTTTCCTCCACTGCTCTAGCGATGATTGAATATATATTTTAAATAAGGTCGGAGATAGACAACATCCTTGTTGAAGCCCCTTTGTTATTGGAAATGATTTAGATATAAAGTTTCCTTCTTTAACGACACTTCTTGCATTTTTGTATATATTTGCGATATCATTCACATACTCTCCACTGAGACCTACTTTCGTCAATATTTGAAACAGTTTTTTCAAAGGTACCGTATCGTATGCTTTCTCTAAATCTGCAAACAGTAGGTGGGTAGATAGATTTCTTGCCTTCCGTTTTTCGATTACCTGCTGCAGAACGAATATACCGTCAGTGCACGATCTTCCTGCACGAAATCCATTTTGTTCTTCTATGTCTTTGTATTCTGATTCTATTCTTTCTTTTATTATTATTCTTTAATTATCATTATTCTTTAAACATCAAATTTTAAATGTTCTTATTGAAAAATAGGTACATCCCGGTTTTTGTATAATTAAGAGATAATTAGGCGTTTCTAGACTTTTTGTTCACACTGTAGACTTTACTTAATTCTAAAATTTCAGAACATTTATTAAACATAATAAAACGTACTATCTTATACATATATTACACATTAAGTTTGTACACATTTTGTACAAAATATTGGTGAAATATAAAGGTATATTTTTTAAACTATGAGCGAACATTGTCGTCCTTTATCCTGATCAATCACTGTACATAACAAAAATATAAATACGGGCCTAGGGAGACTTGTACACGTTTAGACACTTGACAGATATGCATATGAGTGGCAGATGGTAAATAACCATGTTTTGCATGAATATTCCTGTATTGGTAGGCCACCGTTTTTCATGTTAATTCTACAATCTGATCCGGCCACTTCGGTATTTTTGAAATAAAAAAATACGTTAATAAATTTCGGGAAAAATGGGTCACAGTAAAAGATGTGTTATGTTCCATCAATTATAATTAACTAGTGAAAATAAGTTAATCGGCTGCAGTATGACCTGTTTCAAACAAAGATTTGCAATTAATAACAAAATAATATTAATAACTAATAAAATATTAATATTTACTATGGTAAGGACAATTTTACAGGTGATCTAATGAACTATCTTCTAGTAGCAATAGCGGTTTTTGACAAAACAACGGTTTTCGGTTATATCGGTACCAAAAAAAACATTATTTGTATACGTATATTTGTGTAATAGGTACATTTTAACTCATTTAATACTTCCTGTATGGGTGTATCGTTTTGAAAACGTTGCGAAATCATTGGAGATTCGTATTCGCAATCGGCAATTGCGAATGGCAAAAGCCATTCACTCACTTTCAATGTCAAGAGTCAAGTGTGAAAAATAGATGATGTACCAGGTCACTTCTTATGTAAATATGATTACAAATACCTTTTCAACGAAATAATATAATAAAACTTAACTGTTTCTGGCTGATATGAGTTTGCCCTTTCAGTTTGCTTCTGTGTTTATAAAAAGAAATAAAATTTGAATTATGGTTTCGTTTGGAATAATTACTTGATAATAATAAATATGAATGGGATCCAAAATAATACCTAACCTAATCCTAATCGCCGTACCTAAACCTAATAACCTTTTTTTACTTTAAAAATAATAAACCGGTTATAACCGGGACAAAAAACAACCGATAAAACCGGT